TAAGAAATGGAATATACTATAGTGAATTTAAAAGGTGTGGATATAATACATTTGGAAAAATTGAATAAAAAGACTTGTCATTGCCCATGAATTTAAATTATGAATCAGTCAATCAAACCGAGGAAATATCAACTAATGAAAAAGTGTACAAAGAGGACAACAAAGTAATTACAAAAGAACCAAAGAAATAAAACTTAATGAAGATGGAATTAATATCCATTCTTTCAACTTCATCAACTGCCTAAAAATTGAATTTGCGATTAAGCTTGAGAAGGAGGTAAAAGTCTACGTAGTTAAGTTTGAATCGGATGGAATAAGCAAGTCATATCATATTGCAAGAGGCAAGTCAAGATTTGAAAAATAAGCAAAAAGTGGAGTAAAGTCAAAATAAACAAATTAAGCAAGGCATCAAAAGCTTTCTTCAAAATTCTATGATACGATTGCCAAAGTCAAGCTCATGACTTTAAATGAGTAATTACTAGGAGGTAACCTAATTTTCTTCCCTTTTATTTATTATGCTTTCTAAAAAAAAAAAAAAGGTTGAACCCCAACCTTGAGGGTCCCCCACCGTCCCTGCCCTGGAGTATCGTGAGGGAGGTAAATCGCAGGTTATGCCTCCAAGAGTATAGGGTAGAAGGCTACTTGTACACTTGCACTTACCCAAGAGCCAAATCCATATTTCAGGATTCGAACCCTTGACGCGGCAGCCTTAAGCAAAGCTGGATTTCTCCACCCTCTCCTTTTATTTATTATGCTTTCTAGATAATAGGTTAGCTGGTTTTTATTTTTTTGTGTGCTACGTAATAATTAGGTATCTTCATTCTCATATTGCCCTATAAGTCGTGATTGTTTAAACTTAATATAAATTGTTTCATATTATCAATGATTAATTTCTCTTTACCTACTTAGGAATATGACAACTGAAAACGCACAAACCAACACAGGAAAAGGGAAATGACACACCCAAGTGAATCATTTAACTCCATTAATTTTGTTCCAAATTAGCGTCCATTAGCAGATATACATCCGAGGAGTACCAAATTTCCTTCTCTACTCTTTTATTTTACTTATTTGATGATAATTTGAGATATTAAGGGCAACGTTTGGTAGTCGAAAAAACATTGAGTTGTTATTATTATTAGTGATCGTGTGAAATTTTATTGTTTTATTATATATGAAAGATAGAAAAGATTGAATTAAAAAAAAATCAAAAAGATTTTTTTTTTTTTTTTTATTTGCTTGTTGCATGGATTAGTTAGTCTCGTCGACAATGATGTATATATTTTGAACCATGTGTTAGTTTATGAATTATGAATAAGTTGCATGTTTAGATTAATTTTTGCTTATCCATGTGAAATGTGATATTAATTGAAAAAATAAAATATTGAGCTTTTATTATTACTTTTGTGTGAAATTTTATTGTTTTATTACATCTAAAAAATATAGAAAAAATTGAATTAAAAAAAATCAGAAATATTTTCCTTTTAATTTGCTTGCTATGTGGTTTAGTTAGTTTTGCCGACAATAATGCATATATTTTGAACTGTATGTTAGTTTATGAATTATGAATAAGTTCTTTGCTTAAATTAATTTTTGCTTATTCACGTGAAATATGATATTAATTGATCATGAGAATTAAGGTTAACATCGTGAAGGAATGAGTTGGTTCATATTTTCAATAAGTTGAAATGGTGGACCGTAGGACCTAAACCCAAATAATCACTACATTATACACTTTCAAACCAAGATTATTAATGTTTGGGGGTGATTGAATTATTGTAGAAAGTCGATGAAAATTCCAAGAGTGAATTCTTGTATTAACTGTCTAAAATCAATGAAATAAAAATTAGGTGAAAATCTTAACTTATATGTTAATTTTTAATAATAAGTATTTAATGAAGGACATTGTACTAATCATTACATAAAAAGGAAAAAAAATTACGCAATTCACGAATGAAAAAGCTAAAATCACCACCCATCCCCCACCCCGCCCCGCCAAAAAAAGAAAAAAAAAAGGGAGAGATTAAGCTAGTGCATGTAACTTGAAAAAACAAATGCATAAAACAAAAAACACATTACATGTATTAATTAAGCCTCAAACACTTATTTGAGGAAATTAGACTTTTTACAAAAGATTATTAGCCTAGTTGATTCTTGAAGGTTGAAGCAATTAAACTATATGATAATCCTTACTTATTAAGATGACTTGCAATAGATACAGCACGCGCAAAGCCTTAAATTAAACATAGATACTCGTATTTATCGTAAAACAAGAATAATCTTTCAACACCATCCAAGAACACGTACTTGGGGGAAAAAAAAACTCAGCAACTTTCAGTTCAAAAACGTGCTAATGAGAGATTCCTCTAGCTTCCAATAAGAAACTAAAGAATCTCAGACTCTCCCAACACAATTAGAAGGTAACACAATCTAGTTCATTCTCCTGATAAGCTCGTTGATATAATCTTCACGGTTTCCAGCATCTCCACCCTCAACGTAGTGGTTTCTCTTCTTCTTCAGACCACCCAATGGTGCCTTAAGTTGGAATGGCCAGATAAAGTTATTGGCCTCCTTAAAATGAGGTCCAACAGTCATGATCTCATGAACAAGATCTTCCATGCAGATAATCCCATGTTTGCCAAGAACCTAAATACGATCCAAAAGTAAGCGAAAATGATATGCAAAATGCAACTAAGCCCCTGTTTAGGTGTAGATTAAAACCTAAGTTTTGTAGATTTTGCTAAAAATTGATGAAATGAGATTGAGAAGTTGGAGATCCCATAGAATGTGTAGTTAATTCACACCAAACAGGGGCCAAATATGAGCAATAGTGTTAGATTATTAGAAATACATGTTCAATGATGGAATTGTCTGTCAAAGCAATCCTCTGCTTGTTAACCTTGCCATAGCCCCTCTTGTATATCAATTCTTTCACGCTCTTCAAGTTGGGGTATCTAAAGAAAGGCAGGGGCATTTTAAACATTTGACTTGGTACTTGCAAAATTTACAAAAGTAATCAGATGTATACCCGTAAGTCACATAGGGCTCAACTCTGTGCAACATATTCAATGTTGCCTTGTTGACTTTCAGAAAAACGCCATTAAAAATCTGCTTCGGGAGAAATCAACGGATGAGAATTACAGGAGCAAAGAGTACAAAGCACAAACAAAGATACCTCACACTGAGATAAAAGGTTTTCCACGTCCAGTGCAGGTTTGACTATGAAAAGTGGATATAAAAGAGGGAAAACAATTGAGAAAACAAATTCTCAATGACTGCACTACCAGCAACCATAAATAATATGATTTCATCCAATAACATGATTCAACTTTATCCAAAACCATTATCAAATAAATGGAAATAACTTGAGAATTGATGAATATCCACTACATCAGACGCCTAAACTCTCCAACATTAAAAACATTTATAAAACCAAGTATCCTTCAGTTCAGGTGGTTGTTCACTAACAAAATGTCATCACAGTCACCACATAACAATTATGAATTTATGCAAATCCTTTCTTTAGCAAAGTTCAAGCAAGATATTCAGGCAACTGGCCAAGCAAGTTTGTTTTCAACAAGGTGCACCACAGAAAAAATAAATATTATCAGATAAACAAAACCATCTATTCCTGTAAGGTGCATGAATCAGGAATAATCCCCATAAAGGTGTAAGACTCAAAGTTATAAATGACATCTAGTAGGTGAGTGCTAGTTTTGTATAGAAATTAACAAACAAAAGCTACAACTACATAGAAGGATTTCAGAGTAACCTGTCGTAGACGCAAAAGTTGTAAAATCTTCTTCGTCTGTGGGTGCATGGCATTGATACTGGCAGTCCAAAAAGAAAACAGAAGTGAGTTACAAAGCAGGTTACATAATAAACTGAACAAAGTCAGCTAAAATAACATCAGATCATACCCACGGATTCGAATGAGAAACAGCAGCTTAGGCTCAGGGTTGACATATAATCCCCCTTTCAACCTAGCCTCACGCTTCAATTGAATTAGCTCCTTTTCCTAAAATATGAGGATTTGCACCACAATTAGAAACTTATGATTGTAAAGAATTAACATCATCAAAAACCAGCAAAAGGAAATAAACGGATACACCTGTTGCTCGTAATCCTTTGAATACTGTTTGGCTTTGTTGTAGATAAGCTTGCGTTGCTCTGCCTTCTTCTTCTTAGCAGACTCAAGCTCCTGCTTTTTGACCAATGCCCATTCCTCACTCCTCTTCTGTTTCTTAAGTACAGATTCTGGAACAATGGGCCCTCCCTTCTCCATCTCTACACCAAACATAAATAAATTCATCACCTACTCAAAAAGGGAACCCTATTCCGCTTTGCATAAAATTGCAATAACCATAAATTCCAAACTCATAAACGCATAATCACATATGAAATACTTATTCTTATATTGTTTTTAAATTTAACTTATATTTCTTTTCACCCATTTCCTGGATGTGTGGATTCGCAATTCCTAAATGGCAGAGTTAAAATCTGATTCAGCCATCTCAGATTGCAGTATTAACACACAAATGAAAACAAACTCATAAGAGCGATTGGTAGAAATACGTTTACACACATGAATACTGTATACTTATATATCAAATGCATATTTTCTGATCGTAAATCAGAATTCTTTCTATATTTATTTCATTTCTTCCAATGATGCCGGTTAGAAATTTCTAATTTCAAAGTACGTAATTATTTTAGAGATCGATTTAAAATGCAAAACTAACAAAAGCACTTGCATATTATACACTCCATATACCCATAAGCAATTTCAGATTGATTGAAGTTAAGAATTCGAGCAGTTAACTTACGGTTCTATGCGGCGGTGAAAATCAGACTCCGATACAGCTACGTATTATGGTTAAGAGTGCAGAGCGTGAAAACTAGGGTTTTGTAGTGGTTTGTTTGGGTTCCGGGCCAAAACAGACCCAACGGTCCGATTCCTATAGGGCCTTCTTCATTTTTTCATATTGAGGCCCATCAGTATACGGCATTCTAGGAATTTGGCTAAAATAGCACTTCCAAAGGCTAATTATCGACTCAAAGTACCGGTGAGTTATATTGCTTTATTTTATTTTATTTTTCCCTCCTAAATCGATTGCGATCAAGATTCTTGCCTCTAGTCGAAAAGTTGATAATATATATGTAATCCTATCACGTCACAAAATAGTTAACGTGTCGTGTAAATTGGACAAAAAGGTTAAACGTTTAACTATCGTCTTTGTAATAAGAAGAATCGTATTTGTACACATACGTTATTGACAAAATACATATATTTGTATGCATTCATTATTGACACAAATACACATATAAATAGAAGAAAATGACTTCCATTATACATGTCAACAATAGCTACAAGGAAGACGTAAAATATTTTTAAAAACAAAAAATTACATAAACTTCTAGTTAGAACAAAGGAAAACTAAGGTCCTGTCTGAGTCTCATTTTTTCTGAGAATAGATTTTGTAATAGTGATTTTTTAGGAAAATACATGATTTTTTAGTAGAAGTTTTTTTTTAATTTGCATGCGAAATTATTTTATTAAAAGATAATGCATGGTTGAAAATGAGTTTGAGGGAAAATGAATTTTAAGAGGGTGGGGGTTCAAACATGAGCTAAAAGCACTGCGTCTAATTGCCCTACTCTTGAATTGTTTAACTTAAGGGAAATTATTAGATGTGAAGAGCTATTGATAGCAATAAAAGAGTACGATAGATGTGTGACAAAAATAAAAAGTATGATACATATGTGACAAGGGAACGTATTCACTAATTATATGGATGACAAAAATACCTGTCAAACTCGATACCCGAATGGGGCAGAGATTGCCTGGTTAATCGGGTAATTGGCTTAAGTAAGGGGCGGAGAATTCTGCCCCGAGGCGCGTACGAAGAGGATACAGGTAACAAGGGGCCCTCCCTTTTTATTATTTCTTTTTTAAGAATTCAGTACTTTAAATAGAAAAATTCAATGAAATTTCATTAATTTTAATAGAATATGGCAATTAAGATTATCTAAGAAATATGATAAACAACAAAAACCTTAGTTTACCAAATATATTTTAATAATTTTACTTTTAAAAATAAATAAATTAATTAAAAAATTTAATAGCTATATTATTGTCTCACTTGAATAAACGGGGATAAATAAACTGAATTAAAAAAAAGTTAAACGAGGGCCTGCCCCCACCCTAAATGGGTAACACGACGCGGGGTGGGCGTGGGGGTGGGGGGAGTTTCCAACCTTGATTGATTATGATAAGTTGGATAAGCCTTGAGAAGACTCAAAAACCGACTCCAACAGTAAGCCTCGGATCACCAATTCAAATTCAGATTAGTTGTATCTTATAACTTCCTCCTCAGAATGAAATGGAATGGGTTTCGGACCAAATGTGAATTTTTTCTATGACCATTGCATAACTTTTCTCTATTATTATTATTTTTTTTAAAATTTCGTCCTTTATTCATAACTATTTCACTTTTTCTTGTATCATTGACGTGCATGGGTGTATTTAAACTATAGAGACATTCATTAGGAAATAAATAATCTTTTACCCTATTCTTGTGTTCTGAATATGGTATTGAAGCTTTAAGCAAACTCTTACCATTCACACTCAAAGATACCGTCTTTTTCCTTCTCTTCCGACTCCCATCTTCCATCCTAAACGTCCCTCTGTTCCACTCAATTCTCGTCCATCTTTTATACCGGGAATTTACTTAATCATGTACAGGAGAAAATAAAATAAATTTCAATTTCTACCAAGGATCTACTTTGTTTTTAGATAGAAACTGTGAAAGAATTATACATTTGTTAAATTTTACGAACTCCTTTGTTGATCTTGTAACACGAACAATCACAATCTGCAATCTACAGTTGTTTAATTGTCTAACTTCCAATGAAAATTCACACAGTGTACAAAATTGAGAGAACTAGTGTTTTCTTTCCTTATACTAGCAAAAATAATTATGCTCTCTTCTGATTTTTCCAAACCCTAGCAACCTATTAATACAAGTTCAAGTGGCTTAGCCCATCTTTTAAGTTAATCTGATCCAATGTTTAATTAATCCAATTAATTAAATTTGATTCATGAATTAATTAATCCAATTAATTAAATATGATTCATGAATTAATTAATTCGGACATATTAACCAACAATCCAATTAATTAATTATTCAGCACTTGTCAATTAATTAATTGGTAAATCTCATTCTTCTAGTTTTTCCTTTTGTGTGTAATACATTAGGTCCCCAATCACGGTATTTATTTATGTAAATTATTATTTTGATCTAATCAAAATTGATAAATTAAAAATATCCCTTTTTAATTTATCACTAATTTATATCCGTCGTCTTAGAATTACATTTAGCAATGTATTAGGACCATAAATATGACGAGAAATGTCATGTGGTATGATAAAATCAAACTTATTTGTTTATCATAGAACTATAGTCTCTTCATCAATATGACTCAGGTGGACTTGACCCATCTCTTAAGTTAATTCGGTCAAATATTTAATTAATCCAATTAATTAAAGTGAAAATTACAGGAATTAATACATTTAGAGATCTTATTTCACAAATCATATGTTAAGTTTACCATTTCAAAAATCAAATGTTTTGTTAGTCAATATATATAATTCTTCCTCATTCTTCACTCTCTCTATATAGAATCTCCTCTCCTCTCCTCCCATCCTCGCCGCTCTCTCATTGTCCCTCCCCATCGATTCACAGTAGTCGCTTATTGCTCTCTTTCCATCGATTCATAGTGGCAAGCATCGTTTGCCACTATTAACGACATTGTGCAGCGTCGTGCTTCTGTTCTCAGCAACGTCGGTGCCTAGCATCAAGGCAAGTTATGGAAAATGTTGTCTCCTTGTGTCTAGGAGATGCACCTTCTTAGTCGGCACGACTTCAGCAATACAGCCTTGGAGAAATTAAGTTTGGGTGTTGGTGGTGGTTGCGTTGGTGACACGGTTGCAATAGTCCTGTTCTATGGTCATGACTGTCCTGGTGTTGCTGTCGAAAGATGGTAGTAGTGGTTCCATCCACTGTGGTGCTGTAGTTGGGGTGTGTGTACGCGTACATACAACGGCAGTAGTGGTTGCGGCGATGGTTGTGGTGGTGATGGTAAGATGTTGGTGGAAATGGGTTTGTCGAGGTGGTTATGGATCTGGTGCGACGATGTGGTGGTGCTTTTTTGCAATGTGTTGACTTATTTGAAGTGGTGGTGGTTCTGGTGACGATGGCGGTGATGAAGCAAAAAGTAGTGGTGAGATGGTAGTCGCAAGTGTTGGTGGTGGTCCCAAATTATTTGGTTGATTGTGACTATTAAATTAATTAATCTATAACCAATAAAATAATATGTGATCAATGAAAAATATAAATTGTGATAAAAAATAATAATGTGTGACTTATACTATTTGTAATTTGTGATTGATAAATAAATTATGACTTATAAATTTTTTTATTTGTGATCGATGAATAAAATATGAGCTATAAAATTTTTGAAGTGTGACTGTAAAATAATTTGTAACGTATAAAAATTTTGATTTGTGATCGAAAAATAATATGTCATAAACTAAATCATTAATTTGTAATCTTAATATATTTAATTAATAAAATATATAATTAAATAATTAAATCATGAATAAATTTTAATAAATATCTTATTTTTGATATTTAAACATTTGTTCTTAATTTTGAAATGGGTGATATTTAATATATTAATTATGAATTTTTCGTGACAAAATCAAACTTGTTTGTTTACTATAAAATCACAATCTTTTCATCAATATGATTCGATCAATTACTAGATATGAATATGTGTCAATCTTAATTATTGACCATATCTTTAAATATGATTTGTTTAATTACTAGTTATGATTATGTATCAATTTCAATTATCGATTATATTTTTCATCTTAATTAATAGTAAGTCGAAAACTCATCTTTGACTTATGAGTATACATTAGTTAAGGATTTCATTATGAATTTAGCTGAATAAAATGTAAATAATAATCTTTTACTATCTAAGAGTGATGAATCATTTATTGATCATTAACAACCTTCATATGATTTTTGATATACCCGAACGATGTCATATTAGCGGCATTTGACAGAACAACATCAATATCATCAAAATATGACTGTCCTCATATATGACATTATGATGACATCAAGACAAAGGATCAATTTCATTACCGAACGTTAGAGATTAACCACTGACACTCTAATAATTATTCATATGGAATCTCCCAGAGGGTCTTCAATGCTTTGTTTTATAACAGAACATCTACGTGTTTATTTAAATGTCACCATACTTTAGTTTGTGAGATCAATTACTTACTTCACAAGTGAGAAAATATTACACATGATAATATATCTATAATAACAATATTCATATAGCGTTATTACTTACAACTATGAATGATTTAAGATTCAGTCATAAGTAATTTGTATTTTACAATCACAACTTTTTGTAATTAACAAATTATTAAAATTTGAATTTATGGACTCCATTATTAATTTAGCCACTGCCTAGAGCTCATTTTTAATAAGTTTATTTTTTCTTTTAATAAAAAGTGCAAAAGTTAAACCTGATTTTTAATTTGCCTTTATTGGAACATTGGAAATTGGTTGTACTCATTGACCCACACCTAGCCAAGTCTATTGACTTCATTACCTGCCCCCAGGACATATCTTCCAATGGCAAAGGGGAGGGCGGATAGAGCTCAGCGCGACAGTGTGCAGAGTCCAATTCCCCGCAAGGTGGAATTGACTTTGTTGCAAGCGGGAGTAACCATATGGATTAACAGCCTTGGTCTATCCATGTGCTCTCCACCCTGGCTCCTGAGAGACACATCCTGCGATTTACCTCCTCCACGATGGCCCAAGACAGGGTCGATGGGGACC